GCAACGAGTAGACTCGAGCCCGCGACAACCCTGCTCCCATAATGGGCTCTCAATAAGCTAGCCGTCTAAACGACTGAGCTGTCAGCACTTGACGTTTCTGATTTTGTTTTGGTAATGACAGACGTTTGATTATTCTTGCATACTCCATAATTTTATCAAGACGCATAAACATAAAACGAAAGGGTGATCTTACCCTATGCTTCAATGGGCTTGAATTTTTTCACCAGCTGAACATTTTAATACTGAAGTTAAGGTTAAATGCGGCCCTGAACTGATACGACAAAAATTTCTGCTGCCGTGTCCTGAACGATCAATGCTATTAGTCATTGGCCGCAAAAAATACGATAAAAAAATTCAGATTACAAGCTTTCGGAAACTGTCTCGCTTTGTGTCCCTGTGCAAATAGTTGCCGAGCTATGTGACTTTCTTTCAGGGCGGCCCTAAATTGAGGATTTCCCTTAAGGGAAACTTCCAATTCGAGGCCGGTTGATCTTTTCGAGGCCGGTGTGGTATTAGCCAATGCATTCGGTGTATTACGATTTCCAGCATGCCATTTGTAGATAAACAACTAAGTACGAAACTCACAGAAATTTATACAGATTTGGCGCGAAATGCTGGCGGGAGAGCGATCACTGCCAGAAAGCAGCGCTACTGTAAGCAGCTTTCGTTTCCAAACCAGCTCGATGACACCTACCTACACGGTGGACTTTAAACAAGCAACAATCGCTCAAGTTCAAGCCGGCAGTACAGTGGTTGACGTCGCCGCTGTAACTGGCGTTCATGAGAGAACTATTCGAAAGTGGCTACATGCACTAGCGGAGGGCAAGTCACTGAAAGCCGGACGGCCTGGGCCCAAAACGTTCTTACCGAAAGCAGCGGAAGACCATCTATACGACTGGGTGGTAGGACGACAGCTCATTGGCCACCCAGTCGAGCGCGCCGTGATCATACGAAAGGCGCAGGAAGTGGGCCTGCTGGGCTGTGGCGAACGTGTGGGCCACGGTTGGTACAAGGGCTTTAAAAAGCGCTATCCAGCGCTGACCGTGCGATCCGCCCAGTCGCTTGCTACAAAGCGTAACTTTGTTGTTCATGGTGACCTAACTACGCTTTTCAACACCCTTGCAAAGCTTATCATTAAGCTGAAACTGGACAGCTCGAGGGTCTTTAAAATTGACGAAACAGCTTTTCAAAAGCAACTCAAGAGCAAGAAAGTAGTCGCTGTTCGTGGATCGAGTAACGTTTGGAGTACAGAGCCTACAGCTAATTTTCACCTCACAATTGTTGCGTGTGGAAGTGCTGCTGGCTTTGTAATACCACCGGCTTTTGTTTTGCCTGGAAAGACCGTTTCACCTGGATTGCTGGAAAATTGCGAGGCAAAAGGCGCTATGGTCACGACTTCAGCCTCGGGCTTTATGAATACCACCCTTTTTGAGCGATGGTTGAAGTTCTTTGCAAGCGCAGTGCCTGATTCCATTGCACGTCCACGTGTGCTGATTTTGGATGGATGCGGATCTCACTACTCGGAAGAGGTGCTTGCTGCAGCAGAGTGTCTGAGCGTAATGCTGGTTTTCCTGCCCCCGAACGCCACGCACCTTCTGCAGCCATTAGACGTAGCCGTATTCGCTACACTGAAGAGCAAGATACAAACTCTGCTTGGGGAGCTCGTGGAGGAAGACGAGGACGGATACTACAACATTAGCAAAGACGATGCGATTCAAGTGGCTAGCATGGCCTGGCGAGGGGCTCGGATCAATCGAAATGTTAAGGCAGGGTTCAAAGCTTGTGGACTGTTTCCCTTGTCTTTAGTTAAAATGGGCGCCCGTTTGAGCAATTTCACACGAAATGGGGCACCTCGCCACGTCCTGCTTGCCACATGGCTGCATATGAAGGCGCTTGTCGAAGACGAGATTCTCACAATGCCAACTCCACCGAGCAAAGCTCGCGGCCAGAAGCGCAAGCGCGTTTCCGTCGGCGGACGTCTCTTGACACATGAGGTCTTACAGGAAATTGAAGCGTCCACCGCCAGATCGGGAGCTAAAGGTCGCAAACACGCGAGCACGAGTAGTTCAAGGGCTAAGCCTTGCAAGAAGACGACCTCGATGTCGCCAAGCGTTGACACTGGTAGTGATATTGTAGGT